CCCACGAAAGCTTATGCTCCCAATACTTCTGTTAGTCTTAAAGGTGCCACAGGACCCTCTGTTGCTTTTTACAGAGTCTCATTAGTGGCTGATAGTTTTTGCAAGTCTGACAAAATATGGCAGTTCTGGGTTTGGCTTGTAGCTATTCCAGATAAATGGGTTCCTGCTTTGGACTTGTCAGTCTGGCAGAGTCACCAACTGCCACAGAGAATTTGCAGGTTGCAGGAAATCTTTTTTTTTTTCTTCTTTTTTTTAATGCCATCTCTCTTCTCCACATTTCACTCTGCCTAAAAGTCAGGCAGCTAATTTTCTCTTTCCTAGCACTTACGCTTTAAAAAAGAAGCAATAAAGTGGTGGAACTGAGACTATTTGAAAAATGCAAAAAAATGCTGGCCTTGCACATTAAATTGGCCTGTGACTAACTACAGTGGTACCAATTAATCATAATAATAATTAATAACGTGTTTTTCCATATCCCTGGTTTCTCAGACCACCAAAGAACTCTCTGCCTTGCAGTAGATGAGTTACATTTTCAGTACAAACTATATACCCGTTTGGGCTGGGATCAGCACTTTTACTCTTCCCCTAGGAGAAGTGATGATTGTAGCATTTATCATACATAAAGGAATCTACCATAAATAGCTGCCAAAAAGTAGATCAGCCAAGAGAACAAATTGAGCAGTATCCAGGATCTCAGAAACCTTTTCAGCTAGTATCAGGGGGTAGCCGTGTTAGTCTGTATCCACAAAAACAAGAAGGAGTCCAGTGGCACCTTAAAGACTAACAGATTTATTTGGGCATAAGCTTTCATGGGTAAAAAACCTAACTTCTTCAGATGCAGAAGTGAGGTTTTTTACCCACAAAAGCTTATGCCCAAATAAATCTGTTAGTCTTTAAGGTGCCACCGGACTCCTTGTTGTTGTTCAGCTAGTGGAGCTGATGGTGAATTAAGGAAACTACTCCCTCAGTGCTCTCCAAAAGCTCCCATTTTGGAGCAATAACAGATATGGGTGGGTATATGTGTGTCAAAGTTAGACTCAGGACTCCTAGTTTGTCAGGCCACTCTGTTTTATTAGCACAGCGCTC